GGGGGGGGGGACTGTAAGATCAACATGCAATGACTGTTCATAATTTTGCAGACACCCTATTCCGTCAGAGAGCTCTGGAAATTTATCTAAAATTTTCTGTGTATTAATGTCAATGTTTTTCATGCTATTTCTGTCCCTTATTTCTCGATTTCCGGAGTTACTTTGACTGTACGCGTCACTTCCGTTTGAGTGGCTTCCGGTGTTGATTTCATTCCTACCTCGACTTCCGGTTGTTTTCATGCTAAATTTAGAGACTTAGCCTTAGCCAACGTGCAAATCAGATTAAAAATGATTAAATTAAAAATCAGATTAAAAATGATTAACGTGCAAATCAGATTAAAAATCAGATTAGAAATGTGTACATGTTTAGCGAAGACTCTGTTAAGCCTGATTTCCACTAGGCGGAATTTTGCGCGCGCAGCGGAAATTTTCTTTGTCTTTTCTAACTAGTTCCACCTGAGAAATCACAAGACAAAGAAAAATACCGCTCCGCGCGCAAAATTCCGCCTAGTGGAAATCAGGCTTTAAAAATAACGAAATTGTGCACAAGGACTTGACGGTTGGTAACAGCGATCGACCTTTAATAGAAATCATCGAACTGTGTGAAGAATTATTAGTATTGATCCAGGTAATGGACTAAACAAAGCCCAGGAAAACTGTACATTACTTAAAACTCCAACGGAAGACCAACGAAGTGTTACATTAACAACAAACCACTGTAATGAAACAACGAAATCAGTGTGTGAAATTAATAATATTACTAATTTGACGAATGGCAAATCTCTTGCTCCTGAAGCTAACTTGACTATGCAAAATATCTCACCGCTGTTTACCGTAAGAACAACAACTAATGCCAAAACAACATCAAATGTCCCAATTGCCTCATCATATCCTATGCTAAAAAATGCAAAGAAGAATTCCTTTCCGGTAGACTGGCTGGGAAAGCTGCCCTTCATTGAAGGAAAACATAAGCCGCAATCAGTTAAGTGCTTAAACATTAATAAACTTGTAAATAGTCAAAAGGAAAGTTTTGAAAGCACTTCCTATACGCATTAAAGACAATACGTTGCACCAGATGAAATAGATGATCATTTTTTGGGGCTTAATTGGAAAAAGCGGAGTCGGCTAACGCGCAATCGTTGTCACAAACAGGATTGTAGCCCATGACCATGACCACCATATTCTGTAGCCCACCTGGTTACCAGTGCTGTATTCTTTGTGGAATTCACAGAATACCTAGAATCAATACTTCTGAGTGCAGATCCTCTTCTTATTGTCGGGGACTTTAATATTCACGTTGATTCTAATTAAAACTATGATACTATCGAATTGTTAGAACCTTTGCCTGACCCAACATGTTCAAATCCCTACACATTCCAGCGGCCACACCCTTGATTTAATAATAACTCGAAAAACTGACAATCTATTTTCTTCTGTGCCTAGAGTTGGCTGTTCGTTCTCATATCATATGCCTGTCTTCTGCGAACTTGATACGGGTAAGGTACCTTTTACTAAATCAAAAGTTTCGTATCGGAATCTCTCAGCGATGAATCTGGGAGCTGACCTCTCTAACTCTGATCTCTATAAAAACACTGATATGTTTGATAAAAATGAGCTTGCTATATGTTATAACGAAATCCTTGAATCAGCCATAAATAAGCATGCTCCGCTAAGAACTAAAACGAATTTTTCACGACCCTATGTACCTTGGTTTAACACTGAAGTAAAATCTGCAAAAAGAGAGCAAAGACGAGCTGAACGAAAATGGAGAAGAACTAAACAGCTTGATGGTTTTGAAATCTACGAATCTAAGAAAAACTATATGATATTTGTAATGAACCGTGTTCGGAAAAAATTTTATACAGATTTTGTCCTGGAACATAGTTCAGATCAACGGATATTATTTAACGCCGCTAAGTCTCTATTTCATCAGAAAAATGATCTTAATTTTTCTGCATATGAAGACCAGAATATGTTAGCTAGTGATATTGGAGAATTTTTTGTTCAGAAAATTGAAAACATTCGAAATGAACTTGATTTGTCAGATTCGCACAACTGTGTCCTCGATGAATCTATTGCGTTAAATGCCTGCCTTGATCCATTTGAACAATCAAGTGAAGAAGATGTAAAAAATTTGATAACTAAATCAAATGGGAAAACTAGCTCATTGGATCCAATGCCGACTTCGATTGTCGTGCAGTGTCAAGATGTTCTTCTTCCTGTACTTACAAGGATGATAAACATGTCATTAGATTCTGGTGTTTTTCCCGACAAATGGAAGGTAGCGGATGTTCGTCCTCTACTTAAGAAATGGAATTTGGACACGTGCTTTTGAAAACCTTAGACCTGTTAGCAATCTGTCGTATGTATCGAAGCTTACTGAACGTACAGTCTTCGATAAAACAAACGATTTTCTGAACATACAAAGATTGTATCCTCAAGGTCAGTCGGCATATCGTAAATCCCATAGCACTGAAACGGCTTTGCTACGTGTAACAAACGATATCATGATGAATATGAAGCGTCAACATGTCACTCTATTGGTAATGCTAGATCTTAGTTCTGCATTCGACACCATTGGTTATGATATCCTGCTTAGTAGACTGAATCATGAATTTGGAATAAAGGGGCGAGTTCTAGAGTGGTTTACTTCTTATCTCAGTAAACGTTCCCAATTTATTTCAGTCAACGGTGGTCGATCTAGACTTTTTGATGTATCATGTGGAGTCCCTCAAGATCATGTTTGGGTCCTCCATTATTTGTACTATATGTTAGTAAACCGTTTAGCATTGTGGAAAAACACCTACCTGATGCTCATGTATTTGCTGACGACTCACAGCTCTGTATCTTTAAACCAGATTCGACCTGTGATCAACTTGCTTCATTGAAGGGTTTTGCTGCGTCCTCCATTTCTTTAACGACGAAAGAAAGAAGCAGTTTCGAATCATCTACAAAGGATTCCAAGGAGCTCGAACTAGGTGTACATGGAAGGTCATTTATATATATATATATACTAGAGGTGTGCAAATCCGATCCGAAACCGATCCGAATCCGATCCGTTCGGATTTCGGAACCAAAATATTCATTTCGGATCGGATTGATGAAGTTGTTTCGTAGTCGGATCGGATCGGACTTCGATATCCGAAATAAAATGAATTAATTATCCACGTATTATCGCGAGAATTAATTATCCACGCATTATCGCAAGAATTAATTATCCATGCATTTATCAAAGCATTATCGCGGTTGTCGCTGCATTATTCGTTTGATACTTCAATTGGACGTCACTTTGTCAGCTTCTTGACATGTATTTCTTGCTTTTATATTTATTTGGTTAAATATTTCAACTTGAATCAGAAATTTATTTTATTAAAGAATTCAAAACTCGGATCGGATTCGGATTAGACAATTTCGGATCGGATTTTAAACATTAGGCAATTGTCGGATTATAAACGTCCAATCCGATCCGATGCACACCTCTAATATATACTAAAAAGGATTGGACCAAGAATGGATCATTGTGGTACTCCGTGTGTGATAGTCCGAGATTCTGATCTTTGGGATGCTAAGCGCACAAACTGGCGACGATCCGAGAGATTCGAGGGACGTTTTGGAGATTCCAAGTGATCGAAGTTTAGCAAAAAGAATGGAATGTTCTATGCTGTCAAAAGCTTTCGAAAGGTCTAGCAGTAACAGTGCAGTAAGATGCTTTTTATCCATTGCTCCTAATATAGTAATATAGTATCCGTTATAGCCTTGGCCAGGCCTTGGCCAAACCAAGCTAAATGTGGCGCGTTTACACCATTACACTGTTTTTTTGGGACTGGCTCACTTTGGCCTAGAATTTTGTAATTAATGTTGTGTACTTTTATGTGTTGTGACGTTGTCCGCTGGTTGTCCGCTAATCTCTCACTGCGAGCACACGTTGCCATGAAAATAAGGCCCATGCCAGGGCCGAAAGTGTTTATATCAGTTTCCACAAACCTAGGCCAGGCCTAGGCCACCGGTTGTAGTGAGCCCAGATTTCCTGGCCTTGGCCAGGCCAAGGCTAGACCAATGTCTGTTTACACTGCCAAAATGTGGGCCAAGGCTAGGCCAAGCCAGGTAGTGTAAACACGACTATAGTCTCCCGAAAAGGTCTTTTATTTTTAAAAAAGTCCATACAATTTGCTTGCGATTCACGATTTGTATTCTTGTCTATTGCACCATAGCACGTATGTCGCCATATACTTAGGCCCCAGTTACACGAAACCGGATTCGTATCGGAGCGACATGAATTTAAGGTGTTTTCAAGTCTTGTCTGCAAAAAACAACTTTTCATATGTGAAGTTTTTGTTTAATTATGTTATATTATCATAATTTCAGGTGCCAAATTCACCTCGAAGCAGTAAAATTTGATGTCGCTCCGATGCGAATCCGGTATCGTGTAACTGGGGCCTTAGATTTGTCGATGGGGATTTAATGATGAGGTCGTTTGAAATGAGACTAAACGTGCAGATAATATTCGGAAACTAAATGTAATAAAGGGTTTCCTTCATTTCCGTATAATTAATTAATATATCTTAGTTTCATTTTTGTTCGTATGAATACTTTAGTTTATTGTTAGAACTCTAGTATACACTGGACTTGACGAAAAGCACTTTTTACAGTATTTATTTATTAGTTGATTAGTTACCGTGTTAAAAGATTTTTAAAATGATAATAATGGTCAAATAATGATTACTAATATGACGTGTCACGTCTAAAAATGTGAAGCTGGTCAGTGATAATCCAATAGTCTTTACAACACAATTGAAAGTTTTTAACCGCCATGCCTTCGAGCAATAGAGCATTTAAAAAAATTGAAGCGTGGTAGTACCAGAAAATACAATATTTTAATTCAAATTTGACACCAATATACATCATTAATATTAATGTTTAAGCTTAGAGTCGTAATGATTTATAGATAGAAAAATTAATGTTCATTTGATATACGCGATTACTTTGTTTTTATAGATATGAAAATATGGTGGAACTTCTGGGCGCAGCGAAAATAGGAAATTTTCAGCAAGTAAAGCGGTTAGTGGATCATGGCGCTGATGTCAATTGCGAAAATTATATCAGTGATCGTCCCATTTACTCTGCAGTATCCTCTGGTTCACTGGAAATTGTCAAATATTTAGTTGAACATGATGCTGATGTAAATTGTGAAAATTATCGCGTTGGTAGTCCTCTTCATTGTGCAACATCATCTGGTTCACTGGAAATTATCAAATATTTAGTTGAAAATGGTGCTGATGTAAATCGGGAATTTTTTTTTGTTGGTAGTCCTCTTCACTCTGCAGCGTCATCTGGTTCACTGAAAATTGTCAAATGTTTAGTTGAACATGGTGCTGATGTAAATCGGAAAAATTTTCATACTGGTAGTCCTCTTCACTCTGCAGCATCGTCTGGTTCACTGAAAATTGTCAAATATCTAGTTGAACATGGTGCTGATGTCAATCGGAAAAATTTTCATACTGGTAGTCCTCTTCACTCTGCAGTATCATCTCGCTCACTGAAAATTGTCAAATATTTAGTTGAACATGGCGCTGATGTTAATTGGAAATGTTGGAGAGTCGCTAGCCCTCTTTGCTCTGCAGTATCACCTGGTTCACTCGATATTGTCAAATATTTAGTTGAACATGATGTTTATTTCAATTGGGAAGAAAGTAACGTTGGTAGTCTTTTTCACTCCGCCGCATCCTCTGGTTCAATCGAAATTGTTAAATATTTAGTTGAACATGGTGCTGATGTAACAAATGAGGAAGATCATCGCATAGGCACAATTCTATTTCTGGCTTGTGAAGATGGAAATCCTGCAACTGTTGACTACCTTCTCCAACATGGAGCGATCAAAGACATGGATAAACACTGGAAATTGAAATCGCCCTTACGTATAGCATGCCTGAAAGGTCATACCGCCGTAGTTCAAACATTACTGAAATATAACGTTGATATACGAAAAGAGAAGGAAGCATTAATATGTGGCAATAAAGAAATCTTATATATTCTCAATCTGGAACTAAAGAAGTCCAGTAAACATCGCCAAAAAATTCAGATTTTGAAAGCAATGGATGATGAAAACTTGGCAAAGGTAATTTACTTTTTTATTACGCGCAAAGCAAAAAGAAACGGGATCTCAAAATCTTCTATTTATTGCTTTATTATTTTCGGTTTATAGGGGCAGATTACGTGATGCGTGTTGACTCCGTTTGCCCATTTAATCTAACTCATAGAGCGATATCTAACTACAGACGGTACCGTTTCGGCCTTATGGGCCTCATCAGTGTAGTGCTGATGAGCAGGATTGAGAGTAACTGCTATTTACAGTTACCTTTGATGCCCCACGAATGTGGGACATCAAAACCATGCCAGAGCGCTCAAACTGCAAGCAGTGAGCGTGCGCAATGCGTAAGCGGCATTGGCTCATCCTGTAGAGCGCTCAATATGACCTAAAGGCCATAGAGCGGGAAAGAAACCAAATCGTTGCCACAATAAGAGCGTTGTATACGAAATTGAATGCCTGCATTGCAATAAAGTTTATATTGGTGAAACTGGTAGGACAATTGGCACGCGCATTAAAGAACATTTGACCATGAATAAGCAAACCATGTA